TATGAAAATGAGAAACTTAATTATTCCTAGAACGAAAAATTGTTTTATTGAAGATGACAGAGTTTAGACGTATATTCAAAACTTAAAAGACACAAGAAATTTGATCCAGTTTGTTTCTATAATGTATGCATATATGCAGCACAGGATTCGGTTACTTCTTCTAAAATTACCTGCACTCAACATTCAAATCTGCCAAGTCAGGTAGAATATACTAGCTACTACATTAATATTATATGAGTATTATATGTATTAGATAGGCATTAGCAAATATATTAATTTGAAATCAACAAGGAAAAAATTCAGTTAGAATTAGCAGGAAGCATTGGGCACGATAGCAAATTGTTTCAAAAAAAATGTTTCACTCACCTAAAAGTCCACCAGATGTTGAAGCACATGGTGTTAAGCCAGAAAAATGCCGAAAGGAACAGGAAGTGCATGGCTACGGCTGTAATAAAGAAAGAAATTTTAAATCAGTAGTAACCAGGTGCTGCACTGAGCGAAGAAAATGCTTAGCGTGAAGCAATTTCTGACAAATAATTATAATCGAAAGCCGCCATTGCCACGGTACCTATACAATATGTAGTTAGTACACGAACATAATTTCTACCATGGTAGAGGTAGTTAAGGATGTCATGAACTTTGGGCGGTGACAAAACTTCGCTCATTCGTTGATTTCTACATTGTAACATTGGCTATCACTGTTTATAGTTTAACCAGGGTTATGGAGCTTTATGCCGATATATTTGCGTATTATAATGCTATAAGGTGAAGCATGGAAAATCCCATGAGATTTTAAACTAGCTGTATCATTAAACTGAACTGTATACACTGTAAAATGCAATTTTAGAATTTATTTAGTCATTATAAGATAGGTACATTAATAAGAGCAACTCAATCATTAACAATTTTTTAACGTAAATACACGTATAAAACTACTGATAATGATAATGATGTTAAGTTGCCAATGTTGTCGTGGTTGCAACAAGAAGAATTACAATCTATTAGAAGTAAATTATTACCAACAAGAAAAACCCTGCAAATTAGTAAGGTGCCTTGCTAAAATAAATGACCTCAAAAGCTGCTGTAAATTTTAGAAACGTGTAAATATATGTACAAGGTATCCGTGTGTTCTATTTAATCTGACGCTATTAAAATTAAGAACATTAAATTCATGGTTGACGGACAGTTTCTGTAAACTATTATTAACGTTGTTGAAAATGAAATAGTAAAATATTTAAGTCAATGTTTAATAAAAAGTCAAAATCAATGGATACCTGTAATCACTACAAAACTCCAAAATGACTAACCAGCTTATTACTTATTACATAATTAATTCTCCTTTACCGCCGCTTATGCACTTGCTAATTCGTCTACCGAAATTTTTAATTTCTAAAATTATCAAAAATCATTAAATTGTAGGTAAACCAGATGATTTTTTGTCACAACTATTCCTCAACTTCAATCAATCGCTAATCAATCGAAACAACTACAGATATGATTTGTATTGGCACAAATACCACGTCGTGATTGATACGTAAGGTCAATTTAAAATCTGTCAAAACACATTCGATTGTTAACAATTGATCCAATGTTATCTATAATTAAAACTATTAATTTAAAATAAAACAATAATAACGTGGTATAGATGTAAAGGGAAAAAGAAAAAAAAAACGGAATAATAAAATGATCTTGCAGTAAAGTTGACGATTTGGTTATCTTATTATTTTATCATTTTAATTGTACGGATTGCTCTAAGAATTAGCACATGAAGGAAGGTGGTGCTGAGAATTTAAAGGCAACAAAATTTTGATAAAGTGACAGTGCCGGGGAACGGACGATATATGTGAACGTTATTAACCGTTAATTGATAGTATCAAATAATTAAAAGCTAGAATATATTTTGAAAAACGTAATTCATTGCTACAGCAATTAAAACAGAAAATAAGCCGAACATTCCGTTCGGATTTCATTAATTCAGTAAATCACGCAGTGCAAATTAATAAGATGCCTTAAGCATTTATGTATGTAAAGGTACCTTTCTATAACGATTGGATACAATCGCTTCCGTCACATTATGCAAATCACGGTTTGCCGTCTATGTGTATGTTCTAACTAATTGGAACTTGTTCGAAACGTTGCTGCCTGTTTGACCGACAACGATTCTTTCTTTCATTCTCGGATGGACGGAAAATAATAAATTTCGTTATTAAGAACGTGAGAATGAATCAGATATTAACGCAAAACTAATGTAACTTCCTTAAAAATAAGGTCGTCAGTCCTAAGGCTAGTTGGACACGCACTCACTCTCTTTCCTATCCTGAGCTAATCCTCGCATTTCCTTAAAACTAGAACATCCCGCATCATTATCTATTTGTGAACAGTAATCTAATGTAGGTCTACCTCTACTCCTCTTAACTCCTGTTTCTGCTTCTAATATGTCTCTGACTAGCCCTCAAAAATATAAAACAGAAACAAGCAAAACGTATCATAATATCAAATTCCTAGTTTTACAGTTGATTTATGTAAAATATAATGTGAAATTTTTACAAAATTACGACTACAAATCGAAAAATATAAAGTTGCGATTAAAATGGGATGCCCTTTAAGGAACAAAGTAGGATTAATGACGTTTTTAAATCAAGTGTACCAAAACCTGAAATTTTACCGTTTTCCACAGTTTTCCTGTGAGCGATTACTCTAGAATTTTAATGTACTCAAGTAGATAAGTATTTTGAATTTTTATTAATGCGCGAAATAAATCGCAAAGGAAAAACTTGTTGCATATCCTTAAACGGTTGGTTCGTAATCCACTTCCGTACTAAATTTACATATTAGGTATACTTACAGAAGTTAGTGCGTTCAATAAAAGTTTCTTGTATTTAATTCAACGTGAAAGGTAGGCATACAAGCCAATGTGACCAGTGACCACCCTTCGTTTACCTCCGCTACAGTCTCATTAAATTAACAACCGATTGCAGCATGTCCAGTCTGATTGAGGTTTTATGAAACGGAGTGAAATTCTCAGTTGAAGCGACAAATTGAATTCTAGCATACTTGAGAGTTTCAATTAAATTTGAATATCTTATACAGGAAGTTATTAAATTAAAGCTACAATAATCAACTCTTTTGTTAAACAAACGAACTAGATATATTTCCATATTTATGAAGATTCTTTAAATTTTCATTTGTTAACTACCTATAATCCCTCTATTAAAACTAAAAGTCTATCGGTGATTATCAGCTTGATTTTTGCATTGAATTGGTGGTTCAAAACCGACGTATAAAATAATCTTAATGCGTACTTGTTTCAGTAATTAATCATCATTATTAGTCACTGCTCCAAGGAATTAGTCGTTATTGATGTAAAATAAGCAGAAAATTATTTATAAAACTTTGTTTATAAAGTTTTAATAATAGCGAATTCTAACTTTTTATGCAGTAGCCTTTTTCGTAAAGTAACAAATTTTGTAATTAGCCGAGTGAAGTCATAATGGGTAATAATTATCATTGATGTTAACTATTTCAGTGCCAAGCTGATGTACTTCCGGTTACACAACACGACAGGTATTCGATAATTGGTTTGGTACGTAAGCGTTCAAGATGATGAACCTACCTGTTACAAAATAGCATTATTTTTAAAACAATAGAATTTACCAAGTATCACATAAAAAATACTGAAGTTACAACTTATTCAAAGACATCATGTTTGTCCTACTAATAATGCTTTATTGCAACATTGCAAAAGACCCTTCTAGATTCTTACGGAAAATTGCCTTCTGGCAAACTATTTGAAACTTTGAATTCTGGTAATTGTCGTTAGGGTTGCCACCTTTTCAGTCTTTACATAAAGTATTTCTCGACTAAAAGGTTAAAAAAAAAGTACTCAGCATAAAAATAAAGTATTTTATTTTTTGTTTTTAANTCTTCATTTCTAACACGGGTACTTATTGAACCGCCCTCGTACATTGTGCCCTTATAGTTAAAAATAATAAAAATAACCGTAGCGGTTTTATTTTCCATTTCTCGAGTTAGAGTCCATGTAAAAAGACACTTTTGATACATTTACCTGTTTATACGAAAGTGTCGTGTTTCTGTGAGAAAAAGAAAACGAGTTAGACACTTGACCTGTCCCGACTTGTCCGTGACTTGTTTTTATTTCCGTTCCTTTGACACAAAACTAACTTGAACTATTATGTGTATTATCTGTGTACGAGTGTTATTTTTGTTAATTGGACGGAAACATGTAAAACAGGTGGATCACTTGGTTGCTTGGAATCCCTTTATGCATATATATACATCCAGATTTACACTTGTATCAGACGTCAGGATCAAAAACCTGAACTTGACAGGAGTCAAACGTGACGACCGAATTTAAACAACTTTTGTGTAACTTCTCAAACTAAAAACATTCTAAACTTGTACACGTTAATTTGACTGACTCTAAATTGAGACATGAGATAGAGACAGCGCTTCCCTTGTAGTGGACAAAAAAATCATTTTGATTCGTTGTATCTACATATCTGTAACGAACTTTTGATTTATTCAAACCATAGGTAGACAGATTAGAAAGTTTTTATTTCGTTAGATATCATTTTTGAATTCGATTTTCATTTAACGATTAATAATTGTGCATGACGTCATTATTAGGGACGTACTTAGGACACTAAGGTACCATTTATGAAAATACTGGATTATTTTCCAGCCGTTGTTATGTATGATGTCGCATCCATTATAAAGAGGAACAAATGGGTTTTACTGACTTTTTAGTTATCATCCCATAAAACTTTGATCCTTGGCCTAAATGTGGCCCTTATATGTGCAAATAACGTCCGCTCCTTAATAATGACACATGATAATTTTTCTAGATTACATTTGCTTGGTTGTAACTAATTAATTGCCTAAGAAATTTTCACTGCAAGTCCAAGCGAGCAAAAGTTAGCCGTACATTAATTCTATTGTAATTTTTGAAACGAATACTTTTTCTATTAGGTATAATATATAAATTACCCTCATTGCATTACATATACAATTTACCGTTATTGGAAGATTAATTGTAAATGTCAAACAGAACGGTACCTAATTTGGTAAGTTAGTTGTATGTACATGGCGTACACCAAATACCATATCGGCCTTTCGCCATCTGTTCTTTCATTTGGTTTTAAATGAAACTATAGTTTGGCGTATCTTATTAGTGACCCAAAAACTCAGGACAATATCATAATAGAGAATACCTACGTAACGGACTTGAATGCAAACTGATTTTTTTTACGGTTTTCTTCTTTCACCTCATTACAATGACATTATTTACGTACATATAAAAGTACATATTGTACATAAAGTTGTTTAATTTGCGTGCATTTCTTACATCTAACAGAAGCTTCTTCGAATATCTAATGTACACGCTCCGATGGTTTGGATTTTACGTCGTCAGAATAAAATT